CCCCACTGGGACTAAAATTCAGAGGAAGGTTGAATGGCAGGGATGCCCATCATTTACACTGCACTCCTTGTTATCTGGCTTTCATCTGGGACTTCCCTCAGCATCCCTCCACCTCTACTCTATGTCTCCCCCGGCCAGCTGACTTGGTCTCCGCACACTGGAGGCTTCCTGACTTCTCCTAATTGCAGAAGGTAGATTATGGGATTCTTCCACCTCTGTGTTGTAAATCAAACATATATAGATAGCTATAAAATATGCCTATAGCTTCCTTAGATTCTGTTTCTTAGAGAACCCTGACCAATGCACAATATAAATAAGCACACAAATTAGCGAATAACCACACATAACATACTAGGACATGTACATTTAATGGGAGGCTATTTCTTATTTGAAATGAACTGGTGGAGATACTTTAAAATACAGTTCCAAGAAGGATGGGGTTTAGGCATCTTTTGAAGTTAAGATATCTCCCTTTCTCTTGGTAATTCTCTCTGTTCGTCATCAGTATTTTAAGGACTTCTGAAGGGAAATCATCTATTGGCCTGTATATTTTTCTGATTTCCTGTCCATGAGGGTGTATGGGTTGCTTTTAAGGGTGGGTAAACAGTGGGAAAGGAGCTGGTGCTGTGGTGATTTCCACCACCTATTTCTATGACAACAGCAAGTGTTAGGTACTTACATATTCCATTCTGGATTTTCCAATAGTGTTATTAAATACAGAGGTGGCTCTAGTCAGGTCATTGTAATTTGGAGGTGGCTTGGAGTTTCAGGTACACTCTTCTCAGGTATGGTACATACCTTTCAAAGAGAAGTTCTGTTCCTCCTGTCTGGCCCTACCCCAAAACTCTTGAAGAATTACTATATAGGGGCTAGGCTCAGACTGCCTAGACCTGGAACAGGGTACTGACTGCTTGGGAGGCCAGCCATTTGGCTACCACAGTCACACCGCTTCATACCCTGTACCCTGGAAGACTGATTCTCTGCTTAATTCTCTTTTTGTCATTTCTGTCCTGCAGCCTGATGCCACAGGGGCTGTCCTCAAGGTAAGACTGTTTCTAGGTCCCTCTGCAGCAGCCTCTCACCCTCTAGTTTCCAGGGGAGCCAGTGTCTGCTCTGGACTCCCTCCTGCTAGCCAGCTTTTCTAGGGCACTGTTTTTCCATTTGTAGTTTTTGAGCCTCTTGTGGATCATAAACTAGGGTTCTTAACCTTGGGCCTGATGCCAATTTGGACCATGCAGTTGTAGGTGTTTAGTGGCAGACCTAACTTCTGCCTAGGCGATGCCAGTAGCAATTCCCAGTTGTGACAATTTCCAAAGCTCTGACTATTGCCAAATATCCCCAGAGAGGCAGAAATTGCCTTCTGTTTCAGATCAGTGTATTGGATGGAGACTTAGAGCAGAAGAATAACTAATAATTAATAATACTGGATGCTACTCATGCAAACCAGATGAAATTTTAAAATAACATTTTAATTTCAACTAGTAATATATGTAGGCATGTTCTGGAATGTGTGATAAATGTACTTCTTTTCTTTCTAACTTTTTATTTTAACATAAGACTCAGAAATTTTGTAAAATGAGTACAAGGCACTTCTGTATTTCTCAGCTGTCCACTGTGTTCACATTGCCCTTTTCCTCCATCCTCCCCGCTTCCCACCTCAACTTTCCCACCCCCTTGATTTTGACAGTGGTCTTCTGCTGTGGTAAACATGTACATGGGACACATGTATCTTCACATCTTTCACTCATTTAAAGAAGTCTATCTATGCACCTCTTTGCCAAATGTCATTTTCGTTGTTGCAGTACTGGGCATTGAACTCACCACTGAGCTACATTCCCAGCTCTTTTTATTTTTTGATTTTAAGATAGCATCTGGGTATGTTGCCTGTGCTGGGCTTGAACTTGGGATCCTCCTGCCTCAGCCTCTTACTAGGTTGGATTACAAGTGTGTACCACCTCATCTAGCTTTCCCCAAGTGTCTTTCTCAACAATTTCCCATATGACCATCCAGCCAGATCATCAGCTGCAGCCTTCAATCTACCTGAGTCTTCAATCTATCAATAGCATAGACCAACACTGAGCCTCCAAAATGGCATCATTCCCCAGGGTTATTAGCCAGGGTCCAGGTGGTGGGTTGATTATATCGGACCACTTTCATCAGCAAAGGGGAAACATTTGTCCTTACTGGAATAGGTACTTATTCTGGGTATGAATTTGGTTTCCATCCACGTAATCTTTCTTCCAAAACTACTATCTTTGGAGTTACAGAATGTGTATGCATTATCATGCTATTTCATACAGCACTGATTCTGACTAAGAAATTTGCTTCACGACCAAAGAAGTACAGCACTAGTCCTCCCATGTCCCCCAGCATCCTGAAGTAGCTGGCTTGACATGCTGGAACAGCCTTTTAATGATGCAGTTACAGTGCCAGCTAGCTGACAATACCTTGCAGTGTTCTTCAGAAGTCTGTGCTCTGAGTCAGCGTCCAGCATATGGTACCATTTCTCTAAAGCTGTGACAAACCCATAGTGACCCATGAGCAAAACTTCTGCTCCCTGTTCCTACAAATTTACGCTCTGCTGGCCGAGAAGTCTTAGTTCCACAGAGATTGGGGGATGTGTGCTTCTACAAGGGGGCACAACAATGATTATATCGAAATGGAAGATCCCTCCCTAGCCATTTTGGGCTCCTCATGCCTCTGAGTCAATAGGCTAAGCAGGGAGTTATGGTGTTGGTGGGGGTGACTGATCCAGATTTGTTCCAATTTACCAAGGGAAAGCTGGACTACTCAACAACAACAGAGATAAAGAGGAGTATGTATGAACTGTAGGAGATCCCGTAGGATACCACCTCGTATGATCACGCCCTATTATTAAGGTCAGTGGGAAACTCCTATAACCTAATTGAGGCAGAATGAAAAATGACCCAGGAATGATGGGATCAAGACAGGCTGAAGCACCCTTGGCCTTGGGGCATATAAAACAGATAGCAGAAAGTAGTTAAAAGGGGTAATCAAAATATGCAGTTAATGCTCAAATTAAAAAACTCATGAAAGTAAAAGACACATTGCCATCAGTCCCTTTTGAAACAATTCCCCCTCACTCAAACATACTTAGATCATCATTCTTGTCACTTTCTCAAGTGGTTTTGGAAGTCCTCTTTTGTATCTTTATGAGATATGAAAAAAATTATGGTAAAAGCTGCTGCCGAGTGTCATTCAACCAGAAGGCAGACTTGGAAAACATTAAGACGTGTCTTTGTTAACCTTATTCACTAGACCTGGCATCATGCGAATTCTGGCTTCTTCTTCAAATGCAAAATGGACATGAGAAGTAAACATTTTGAATCTATTAAGGACATCAAGGCAGCCAAGACAGCAGAACAAAAGACGAAAAACAACTTCTAGAACTGCTTCAGAAAGTGGCAAGAATGATAGAATAAGTGTGTTTGAAGTGAAGGTGAATATTTAGAAGAATAATGACAATGTGTATTTTACTGTAACACATTTTCAATCACACTTTATATATATATACATATATGTGTATGTATATATATGTATATGTATATATATGTATATATATATATATATATATATACTGTATACAACCATATGATAAGTTACAGAAGCAAAGATTATACATTTTATCCCTTATTTCCACTTCAGTTTCTCATACCTTTGAAACAATGGATATTAGAAAATAGGAAGAAAAGGCTCAAATGGGAAGGGGAACAAGGGAAGCTGGAGGAAAAAAGGAAAGCAGTGACAAGAAAAAAGGTGAAAATAGAAACAATGGAAACAAAGTTTTTGTATATAGGAAGAGAGGGAGGGTCAAGGGAGGGGAAAAAAAAAGAAGAGGAAGGCTATATCCTGTACAGGAACAAATTATCTACAATGAGTGTTAGTGTACCAATAAATGTTTTTCTTCAAAAAATAAAAATAAATTAATTCAATTAAGTAATTAAAAAAACAAGTGAAGTGCTACTGACAGGATGTTCTTGTGGAGTTTGTACTATGGGTCCCAGATGACACAGGGACTTCACAGGACATTTGAGTCCCTCTATCATACCACAGCCAAATACAGGTCAGGAACCAGGGCACATCAGAATCCAGGGACCTCGACAGCTGGAGGCCTTGCCCTGGCTTGGGTGTGGTCCTGTGTGGAGTCCTCAAGCGACTCCTCTGATCTTCCAGTTTAGCTCACACTCCAGCCGTGCCCACTGCCCGCATAGCCCCTGTGCTGCTGAGCACGACAATCTCTAGCGGCGGCGGGGGGGAGGTTGTAGTGGGGGTATCTTTGATACCATGTCTCCCACTCTATCTGGTTCTTGCATTTAGAGACACAAATTGGGGTAAAATTCTAATTGGCTAATTTGTGTAACCTTTAGCCAGATAACTGAAGTGCCCAGTTGCCCCAAATTCCCTAAAGGAAAACACGGAGACCACACAGTCTGTGTTTGCCCCTTGACTTGGGACTGTTCTCATTTCACTGACTCTATTCCTGTACACGGACTCCTCCTTTCTCATAAAGCATCAAAGAACTTTCTGACTTGCCAGTGTCCTCTTCTTCCAGTGATGGCCACTGAATTAAATCTCAGGTGGGGACACCCCTCTCAGGCGTGAGCCAGGCGGCCTGAGCCTCCCAGGGCCCACACTACCGAGCCTGTGAGGAGGGGCAGGGGTGGGTCAGCTGCGTTCTTCCACGGTCGGCGGCTGTCCAACTCCTTGTGAACTCAGCAGAAAGACTAGCTTCAGGGATCCGCGGTCAGATCTGAGGAAGAAGGGGGCCGAGCCCTGCTTTTGGCTTTTGAGTGTCCAGACTTTGCCCCCTGGACAGGATCCCAGGACAGACTCCTACTGCACTCGGTTTCTGGGATAGGAACCGCCCACGCGACTTCCGGGTTAGGGGCTCTCGGGGGCGGGAGGAACTTCCCAAGTCAAAACTGGCGGGGCGGGGCGGGGCGGGGCGGGGCGGATCCTACGGCGAGTCCCCGCCCCTGGCCTCCCGCTCAGCTCACTAAAAGGGCGGTCCTGAGCTGCTGAGCCCTGTCTGCTTAGTCCAGGGCTCCAGCACCATGCCCATGATACTGGGTTACTGGAACTTACGCGGGGTGAGTGGGGGAGGGAAGAGGTACCCGGGGCGGGGGTGTGAAGAACAGCTGTCGCAGATTGTAGCAATGGCATCTTCAGGGTTTGCTGGAGTCCTCTTCATTCTCTTTCAGCTCTCACGTGCCTCCTCGCGTGTGAGCCCGTGTTCCTGTTTGTGCGCGCGCGCACTCTCGAGAGTGCATCTAAAATGGGTGTTCCTGGAGTGTGGGGACTCCCCTGGAGCAAGTGAAGTCCCATGTCAAGGTCTTGTCTCTGATCTCTGCCTCACCATCTCTCCCAGATAGCTCATCCGGTCCGCCTGATCTTGGAATACACAAACTCCAGCTATGAAGAGAAGCAATACTCCATGGGAGACGGTAATGGCACCCTCCTGCCCTAACTCTTGTCCAGTGCTGCTGATTAGCACCCAGCAACCCCTTTCTGAAACCTTAACGGGTATAGAATTTGGCCTCATGACTCAGAACGCTGGAGTGGAGTTCTGGGTCCCTGTCTGTTTCCGAGCGTTGGGCTTCCTATTAGAGCTTGTGAAAATATTTTTGAAAGCCTTGATGGTGTAAGATCCTCAGCCCTCAATACTGATCTCCCCTTGAGGCTCCAAACCAGGGCATATTAAACTGCTGGCTCGGATTCCAGGTCTGCTCCTTGCTGGGTGCTGGGTGCCTACCAGGGAAGAAGGGTTAGGCACCTGAGAGATTTGCGTTCACTTCATCTTCTCCATTACAGCTCCTGAGTGTGACAGAAGCCAGTGGCTGAAGGAGAAGTTCAAGCTGGGCCTGGACTTTCCCAATGTAGGTGAGGGGTTGAGGTGGTTTGGGGAAAGTAAAGTCTTTGCTGACTCATCTCAGCATAGAATCTCTAGGATCAGAACTCCTGCTGAGCTACCCTCATTCCTGGTGTCTACCTTGTCTTTCTAAAATGTTCTGTGTCCCACTCATTCACTCATTCTGCAGTATATCTATGCAGGGCTTGCCCTGGGGAAGCTCACTGAGAGCCGGCTCTCATGTCTGCCCTAACTCAGGGAAGGGGTGCTGGGACGTGGTGTCTCAGCTGACCTTTCTTGGCTGTCCATGCAGCTGCCCTACTTAATCGATGGGCCTCACAAGATCACCCAGAGCAACGCCATCCTGCGCTACATTGCCCGCAAACACAACCTGTGTGAGTAGGGCTGGCTGCTGGGAGTGGGGAGACAGTGGCCATCCCCCTGGGCTTGGCTGGGGTCAGAGGCTGAGGGTGAGTCTCTGTTGTGTGGGCTGCAGGTGGGCAGACAGAAGAGGAGAGGATTCGTGTGGACATTTTGGAGAACCAGTGTATGGACACCCGCATGCAGCTCATCATCCTCTGCCACAGCCCTGATTTTGTGAGTTCCCCATGGATCTGGAGGAGACAGGGTTTGGAACAGGAGTTAAACTTTTGTGTTCACATCTACTCTGGGTTTATGTGACAGTTCAACTCTGTAATCGTATATCGATTCTCCAAGGTTTCCTAGCCTACCATTAAACTGACCCTCATAACCCCAATCTGTGGTCCAGTAAACACTGGGAATCGCTCCCCTCATTCTGTGATACAGATTAGATTTCCCAGCGTGGATATTCTGTCCTTGATTTGAGTGTACATTCTAAAATCCCTTTCTTCTCTCTGTCCTTTAACATCTGCCATCAGCTGTCCCTCCCAGATTTGCACACTATAAGGCTGTGTCTTGAGTACACACTCTAATCTTGAAAAAAAGCAGTACAGTATGAGGGAACAGAAAGCAGCCTGGTGCTCAGATATCTGTCAGACTCTTTCCCCAGTGCTGTGTCCTTGTCACCAGCATGCTCAGAAGATTTTCCTAATGGGCAGCTTAGTGTCTTCCAGAAGACCTTTGTCCCTCTTCTGCCTCTTTTTTCCACCCCCTTTCCTTACTGTGTATTGAAATCAGGGCCTTGTACAAAAATGGCTTGGTTCAGGAATGCTTCTATTTGGAAACAATTTAGTTTGCAAACAAAAGCATTCTGAAAAGTTTGCTTGTGTTCCCAAACTCCATGTTGGCTGACAAATAAGACTTCAGACATCTTCCCCACACAAACACATACACAGCCATCTTCCATAAAATCATAAAACAAATTAATCTTATAAACTGAGAAACCACTACACTTGCTAGACGAGTGCTCCTGAACTATATCCCAGTCCTTAAAATTTCTTTTTTTTTTTTTTTTTTTTAATTTCAAGACAGAGTCTTGCTAAGTAGCTCAGGTTGTCCTTGAACTTGCAATCTTCCTTCGCCTCCACATAGCTGGGATGATAAACTTATGCCACCAGGCCCAGCTTCCCTGCTTTTAACCTCAAATACTCCGTAGCCTTGTATACACAGCTCAAATGTCCGTTTTGTGCTTGTGCCCTCTCACTAGGTAGGACTTTGTCTCATCTCTTAATCTGTTGCTATTTGCTTCTTTGCTCAGGCACTCCACCATCTGACTCACGGAACCTGGTGTGGATCACTGGTGACAGGTTCAGGAACACTTGTATTTCTGTGTGATTTCCCATCACTCCCACCAAGTGGGAGTCTAGTAAACAGTGATGCATTAGATGGAGGCTGTGACACTGCCCCAAGGCCCAATTTCAGGGAATATAGTTGCTCACCTCTGGGCAGCAAGGGCCATGCATAGAACTGGCAAGTCTGGCCTCTCAGGGAAGGAACTTGTATCTGAGGATCATGACACCTGACTTCTGTCCCCAGGAGAAAAAGAAGCCCGAGTTCTTGGAGGGCCTCCCTGAAAAGATGAAGCTCTTCTCACAGTTCCTGGGGAAGCAGCCTTGGTTTGTAGGGAGCAAGGTAATGTGGAGGGAGATGGGGAGCAGAAGTTGTCATTCTCCCTAGGTTATGAGCTTCCAGCCCACTCACTGTTGACTCTCTGCAGATCACCTTTGTGGACTTCCTCGTTTATGATGTCCTTGACGTGCACCGTATGTTTGACCCCAAGTGCCTGGAAGCATTTCCTAACTTGAAAGACTTCATGTCCCGCTTTGAGGTGACGCTCTTGACCCTTCTCACTCTTGTGCCCTTTTCTCCTTACCCCTTTCCCTCATTCCTTTCTAGTGCTACAGGTGACCTGAGAAATAACTAATAGGTATCAGTACTGAGCACTGACTATATATGCCAGAGCCTGTGCTCAGAATTTTACATCAATTGTATCAAATTAATCATTGCAACAACCTACAAGGCTGATAGAATTACCAGCTCCACTGCACAGATATGGGAACTGAGGCTAGAGAATAAGTCATTTTTTCCAGGTCTCAGCACCAATGGAGGCTGTGTGGGGTCTTTTTTGAACCCTGGCTTCTAAGGGCAACAGTAGCCATCCCTGTGTCGTGCACAAAGAAAATCCCCAGGCCGTGTGCAGCCTGGGTTTCCAGCCCAGCAGCCTGTGTGGGAGGGAGAGCATGTGAGGTGTGAGCAGCTTGTACTGGGAGGGCTGGGGCAAGGCCGGATGGATGGGAAACACAAACATGCAGACTATTCATACCTGATCAGCCCAGCACTGTGGTCAGTCAGATTCCCAACTGTGGAAGCACTGAAACCCTGTGGTTGTAGTTGGTGCTGGATTGAGTACCCACATGGGCACCCCTGGTGGGTGATTTGGTCTTAAATTGTTCTGTTAGGTGTCCTATCTCTATCCTTTCATCCTTTTCCTCTTCCTCTTCAATATCTCAAGTGTTCTTTCTGTAAAATGGGGTCATACTCCCATTTCCACTGATATTCTCGACATCTTCCTTGATTAAGCTTGATATGAACCCACTGGCACATGCAGAAAAGACCCTCTGCCCAGTCCACCCAGAGACTGAGTTAAGAAAGAAGGGCAGGCATTCTGGACATGGGTGCATGTGGCACACTGTGGGTACTGTGGAGCATAGCTTGCCCCTGGCTCGCAGCTGATCGGGTCCCGCAGAACCCACTTGTTTGTCACCATAAAATCTATCTTATTAGAGACTTGGGAATTTGAGCCATTAATGCAACGGGTTTTTAGCTTGAAATCTGCTTGTTTTCTACATGTGAAAAGTACTGAGTTTTCTCAGCTAGTTGTCATTGGCTCTGGTTCTTGTCCAGACTGAGTGTCCTTGAGGATTGTTCAAGAGCTGGCTTGGAGGTGGGAAGAAAGTGCTGGAGGAACAGATGTGAGAACTGTAGCCTGAGCTTCAGTCCTGCTGGGCCTGGCCTGTTAAAAGTACAGGCAACTGTGGGTTTCTATGAATCCTTTGAAATTAGCTAGGAACTCAGTCTACTAGAAGGAAGGCACATAATACAACCAGGCTTATATAGCTCTGTCCAAATACAGGCGGGGAGGCTTGCCGGGGCAGCACATATACCAGTAGAAGGCAGGAGATAGGGTAGGTTGGTCAAGGTAATTCTGTTATTGACAATAGGAAAAATCTGGACTTTTTTGCCCTTAGAGGATTGATTGGAACCTTGCTCAGCCTTTCTTTTTGGATCCTGTTCCCCTGTCTCCTTTCATTCAGAATTTGCTGATTGGGCTCTGATCCAGTCTGCGCTCAAATATTCTTGGAACCTTAGCTATGCTAGATCCTTCGTCTGTTTGCAAATACAGGCAGGAAGGAGCTTCCTTGTATGAAAAGAAAATACTTGTGCAGAGAGAGAAAGACAGAACCTCCAGCAGGGAAGGCAGAACGAGAGTGCAGTGGAAGAGCTTAGAGTTGCAGAGACAAGGCCAAGTTGCATCCAGCCATGTCCCACTTACTAGCTGTGTACTCACGAGGAAATCACTGAGCCTCTCTGTACCTCAGGTTCCTTCCTGATAAAAGGTGACGGTAGGCCTGATCTTGCAAGGTTGTTAAGTGATTTTCTCAAACTATGTTGTAATTTCTAGTACATATAAATTCACCGTAGCTGGGTATGGTGGCGCACGCCTGTAATCCCAGCACTTGGGAGGCTGAGGCAGGAGGATCACTGTGAGTTTGAGACCAGCCTGGGCTACATAGTGAGTTCCAGGTCAACTACATAGTGAGACCCTGTCTCAACCCCCGCCCCTCAAATTCACCTTTTACAGTGTTCAACCTCCCAGTAGTGACAGGAAATTGAACAGTTCACTCACCAGAGCTGGAGATCTTAGGGCACTGTGTTGTGCTCTAGCCTTTAAGCCTGTGTGGAAGAGCTGTTCCTGGTTAAGGGCTGCTCAAGTTTAATGGAGCAGCAGACCTGAGCTCTGGTTTTCTCTTTTCTTTGCTCAGGGCCTGGAGAAGATCACTACTTACATGAAGTCCAGCCGCTTCCTTCCAAAACCTTTGTTTTCAAAGATGGCAGTGTGGGGCAACAAGTAGGACCCTGCAATTCCAGGATGGAAGGATATGCCATGCCTCTTTGTCCCTACCCTGGGGCATAGCTGGCCTCCTGCATCCATGCATCAGTTTTCTCTTCCCTCTATCCTTTCTACTCTTTTCTCCTCTGCAAGGCCTTTTCAGCTCCCTTTCTTCTGCCACCCCCCCAATTCATGCCTTTTATGTTTCACCTCCCCACTTTACTTTATGGAAGTTCCCTTCTCCCCTTCTTTGTGCCTGACCTGAAACTGATCAGACAGTCCTTCATTCTGATTTGAGGAGGCTGTCTGACACCATGTTCTACCTGTCTGGTTTGGAACCTGGTGTCCCCATTGTGTTGGGTTCCCTGGCTCTGTTTAATCTTCAATAAAACCTAAAAAAATAATTGCTGTGATTTTTTCTTATTTCCTTTGCCTCCCTAGACTCACCCATTGTCATTGCTAATTTGAAGGAATTGTCCTCTGATTTTGGTAGTAGTGGGTTCACAGGGCAAGTGGGATTTTGAGAATTTTTGGTTCCAGTTCTGACATGCAGAGGAGAAAACCCCAGAAGGCTCTGTGGAGAATAAAGGGACTGCTCTGGGCCCACAACTCTCATTCACTACCACAACATTACTGAGGCTTCTGTGGTGAGGCAGGGCTGCATGTCCTAGTCCCTAGGGACCAAGGGAGATTTCCCCCATTAGTCACAGAGCATAGTGATGTGGCCTCTGAGCTCCCACCTTCATCTGCAGAGCATGTCGCTTCTCTGATTTAACCCAGATGAGATGACCTCTGCCTGTTCTCCACCCCTACTCTACCCCTCACCCTGGTGAATTAATACCTTTATGAACATTTGCTAAAGATGAGTTCACACCTTGTAATCTCAAGAGCTACACAATTCCTCAAATTTTCTTCTTTTGCTGCATTTCAACTTGCCCTTTAATTTTTAAATCCATTTCATTTCTAAGCTCCACTTACCTGTCTTGGTGTATTTATTATGCTTTCTAAACTCCTTTAAACAAGATAGTCTTCTGCCCTACAGGACAGTGTTCTGGTAGGTTAATGTCCTTCTGAAGGGTACACCATTGATCCCAGAGAACAGAGTGACTTCAAAGGCCATTTGAGCTCCCAAATGTACCAAGACAATACATGAACCAGGGCAACCAGGCCAGAATGCAGAGACCTGGACATCTGGTCTTATCCTGGTCCAGCCAGCCCAGGCTGTGGTCCTGTGTGGAATCCTCCAAGATCTACTCTAGACACCCTCCTGTCTTGCCATGGAAGCAGGAGATATGTCTGGCCCCGTGGATCCCAAATCTTCCACTCTAGCTCACACTCTAGCTGTGCCACTATACTTGCAGCTAGTCAGCAGGATTGTCTTGCTATATTGTAGTATATTGTGGAGAAGTTCAAACACCCTGTCCTCTATTGTGTCTGATTCTTGGATTTGGATTTGTTAATGTAGTTCTAGGAGAAAACCCCTGGTTGGAACCTTCCAACACTGGTCCCAGAACACCCAATCCAGAAGATGAACAGCGACGAAAGTCAGGAAAAGCTTTAATCAGTGAGGCTTTGCCACTGGGAAGGACAGCTAAAGAGGCTCAAGGTCTGTAAAGACTGACAAAATTGTGGTGTTATAGAAAAGAAGAACAAAGGCAAGGGTTGGGATTTGCATGGCTGGGGGTTTGCATGGCTGGCAGAGTGGGTGATCCTGGTCTAGCAGGTCTGGTTAATCATTGTCTCAGGGCTGGTTGTGCAGATGAAGTCCTTATGGCCCGAGGGGACCATCTGGTTCCCTTGAGATGATTGTCCCTGCTTAGGACAGGGCTGGGGGTCAGCCTGTATTCAGTCATGGAATCATTGCTTGCTCATGGTGGGGGGTGATCTCATGATGGAGAGTTTGGTCTGGGAGGCTCCGCTTTTGTTGGAATCCAAGGTGATGGCAAGATTGGAGTAAGGACTGGAGATTTCTTAGTGCTGCCCCAAGGTGTCTGGAACAGGATATCATAAAACTTGGAAATTGAATGTCCCTGAAAACCTTGCTATAGCTTCCTCTCATCTTGGTACCTTCAGTCATGAAGGAGGAGCAAGATAGGTTAGGTAAATATAAGGCTAATAAACCCTGTATTACCAATTTGCAGACAGACCTTAAGCGATTAACCTGCCCATGGGGATAGCTGATCAAGAAACTGACACAGAACCGGATATAAAATGAAGGTACAGATGACAAACTTTATCTGGCTTTTAGTTGTCCACTGGGCATCTTCAGGCCCAACCTGTAAGTCTCTGTTACAGATTCACACACACACACACACACACACAAAGAATTAAAGACAACAAAACACTAATTGTGTAATTTGCATAATCTTTATCCAGCTCTCTCTCTCTGAAGTGCTCAGGCTCTCAGATTTTTCTAAGGGAAATGTGGAGAATATGTGCGCCCCTGGTGGTGGTGGCGGGGAGTCCTGGAGTCCCCATTTTACTGACACTTGTTTCCGCAGACCCTGGGCTGTCATGGATCGCACAGCTATCACGTTGGCGAGTCCTGTTTTTCTAGTCATGGGCCCTGAATTAAAGTATCAGATTGGGCGTCCCGCTTTTTGGTTGGCCCTGACCTCCCAGAACCCGCAGGGCTGCAGCAGGTAAGGGATGAAGACAGAGATGCAAAGGGGAAAAGGAGGGAGAACAGCTTTGTTCTTTCACCATCTGGGCCAGTCTCCAAGGGCAAGGGCAGCTTCCTGTGTAGCCAGCAGGATGGGGGCGAGGATCCGCCAGCGATACTGGGAGGCCCAACAGCTGAGCCCTGCTTTGGATTCTGGTTTCTGGGACCCCAGACCCGAGGTTTAACTCGCGTCCTCCTTGCCAGGACGGCTCACTCCGAATTGAGCCTTCTGGGTAGGCTGGAGCGGGGGCGGGGCGGGGCGCAGAGAAATAGGAGCGGAAACCAGGCCCCGCCCCTTCTTGCTCCTTGCGCTGTTAAAAGCAGGAGTTCTGTCTGGAAGAGCCCTGTCTGCGGGTCCATAGTGCCACCACCATGCCCGTGACATTGGGTTACTGGGATATCCGCGGGGTGAGCTAGGGGTCCGCCTGATGGGTGGGAGGGCGATTGGGTGGAGAGAAACAGAGCAGCTGGCAGACAAGATTTAGGACATGGATACTTTTCAGGACACGCTAGAGCCTTCTGCTTGTCCCACACGAGGCCTTTACAAGCTTTGAGGGTGCGTTTGTGTGTGTGCGTGCGTGTGTGTGTGTGTGTGTGTGTGTGTGTGTGTTAGGAGGAAGAGGGGTTCTCGTGGAGGAAGTGAAGGTCACAGTGTGAGTCCCTGCACCTGTAATTTCTTTCACGGGTTATCTTTCCCAGCTGGCTCACGCCATCCGCCTGCTCCTGGAGTACACAGACACCAGCTATGAGGAGAAGAGATACACCGTGGGGGACGGTAAGGGCACCCTCCTGCCCAGAAACCCCTGCCCAATCCTGATGACTGGTGCCCAGCAGCCCGTGCCCTGGTCATGTGCGGCAGATGGCCCTAGACCTCTTTGAAGGTGCTGTCTGGTCACCTAAGGCAGGTCTGTGGGAGTGGAGTGCTAGGATACCCTTTAGCAGGTGCCTAAAACTTTTGCAAGTCCTAGTCCTGTTGGGTCCACAGCCCTTACATGCACACTTAACCTTGCATCCTTGGAATGAAGGGCTCAGTGGTTCAGATTCAAGCTGTACAGTCTCAGGGTTCTTTCCCCTGACTCCTTGCGAGAGTACCATAGGAAGCAGCAGTGGACCCAAGAGAGGTTTGTTTTCACTTCGTCTTCTCCACCACAGCTCCCGACTATGACAGAAGCCAGTGGCTGAATGAGAAGTTCAAGCTGGGCCTGGACTTTCCCAATGTAAGTGAGGGGTTGGGATAGTTTGGGGAAAGTACAGTCTTCCCTACCTCCTCCCAGCAGAGAATCCTAGGATTAGAACTCCTGCTCAACTACTCTCATTCCTAGTAGTCTACGCTGTCTATGATGGTGGCTATCCCACTTCATTCACTTTTTTTACTGTATATTTCTGTAGGCTTGCCCTGGGCAAGTGCACTGAGTGCCAGGTCTCACGTCTGCCCTAACTCAGGGAAGGGGTGCTGGGACGCTGTGTCTCAGCTGACCTTTCTTGGCTGTCCATGCAGCTGCCCTACTTAATCGATGGGACTCACAAGCTCACCCAGAGCAACGCCATCATGCGCTACATTGCCCGCAAGCACAATCTGTGTGAGTAGGGTTACTTGGGAGGGGTCGGGGGGTGGCCATCCTGCTGCACTTAGCTGGCGTGAGATGCTGAGGGAGAGTCTGTTTTATGGGCTGCAGGTGGGGAGACAGAAGAGGAGAGGATTCGTGTGGACATTTTGGAGAACCAAGTTATGGATGTCCGCTTTCAGCTTGCCATGGTCTGCTACAACCCTGATTTTGTGAGTTCCCCCATGGAGCTGGATCAGTTATGATCTTCATCAGGGGTTAAACTTTTGCATTCATAGCCACACTTGTCCTATTCAGCATTTGATCTCTTTGGTGGTACTGATTCTTCTAGGTTTTCTACCTTACACTTATAACCCCAAAATTGCGTCAAATAAATGCTGTGAATCAATCTCCACGAATCCTAGGGTACAGTCCAGACTCCCCCTTTGGACAATTTGTTTCATTACCAAAGTTATGTTTTCAAAATTCTTTCCCTCTTTGACCCTTATGTCGGCCGTGGACCCCTTCTGAGTACACCATTTGCCTGCTCCTTAATTCAGTGACTCAAACCTTGAGACAGAAAAGCCCAATATATGGGAATGCAATGCACCCTGTTCTTCAGACATCTACTCAATACTTTCTCCAGTGCTATGTCCTTGATTAATCAGGACGTTTTCCTAGTCGATACCTTAGGGTCAGCCAGAGGGCCTCTGTCTCCTTCCCGCTTCCTTTCAACATGAAAAACACCGGACTTCACCCACATTACTCAAATATCCATTCCATTCAGCCATCCACTAGGTAGAATTTCTTTTTTCTCTCTCCTGTATTCTTTGCCTGCCTGAATCTACCAGGCATCTGGGTCCAGAGGCTACCATGTCCTCATGGCAGTCCTGGGTCTGACCTACAGGATCTGACTTGGACCTAAATGGTGATAGATTCAGACACAGAAATGATTCCCGTGGGATGCCTGTCAATCAATTCTAAGAGGAGAATCTTGTATCCGTTGGAATCTACTAAGTGCTAAAGTACTCAACTGAAGCCTGTATCCTGACTCAGTCTGAGTGTTAGGGAAGATGGTTGCTCACTCCTGGACAGCTGGGGCCATGCAAGGCATTGGTGAGCCTGACCTCCTCTGGCAGGGAACTTGTATCTGGTGATGGTGACACCCGATTTTTGCCCCAGGAGAAAAAGAAGCCAGAGTTCTTGGAGGGCCTCCCTGACAAGATGAAGCTCTTTTCACAGTTCCTGGGGGAGCATCCTTGGTTTGCAGGGAACAAGGTAAAGGGAACAGAAATGGGGAAGAGACATTGTTATTCCTCCCACGTTATAAGCTTCCAGCCCACTCACTGTCAATGCTCTGCAGATCACCTTCGTGGATTTCCTTGCTTATGATGTCCTTGACCAGCACCGTATGTTTGAACCAAAGTGCCTGGAGGCCTTCCCTAACCTGAAGGACTTCATATCCCGCTTTGAGGTGATGCCTCTGATCTCATTCTTGTGTTTCCTTTTCTCCTTGTCCCCTTTCCTAATGCTTTCTTGGTTCTGGAGGTGACATAAAGAATAGTTAGTATCGACTGAACACTAACTCTATATGCCACGACTTGTGCCCAGCATGTATATACCTTGTGTCAAATTTATCATTATAACATAGCTACAAGGCTAATAGAATTACCAGCCCTGCTGCACACATAAGGGAACTAAGATTGCAGAGGGTAAGGCATTTGCTGAAAGTCCCAGTGTCAGTGGAGGTTGTGCTGGGCTCCCAGTCAGCCTTTGGCTTCTAGGGGGCAACTGAGGGAGGTGGTTCTTCCTGTTTTGTGCTCTGAGAAGGAGCTTCGGGCCCTTGTGCAGCCTGGGTTTCCAGCCCAGCGCCTTTTGCAGGAGGGAGAGCGTGTGAGGAGCGTGTGCGGCTGGCGTTAGGAGGGCTGGGACAGGGCTGCGTGGATGCGATACACCGAGATGCAGACGCTATGGACATCTGATCTGCAGAGCACTTTGCCCTGTCAGACCTCCAACTGGGCAGCACTGAGACCCCGTGGGTTGTAGCTGGTGCTGGACTAAGTACACATACGGGCGCCCTGTTGGAGGCTTTGTCTTGACCCACTCTGTGGTTGGGGACATTCCTCCTGGCCCTTCTCCTTCCCCTGCTTTCTTCTAATGCCCCGATTTTCCACTTGTGAAGTGGGCAGTACACTAGGTTGTCCTAGTCTTCACTGACTCTCCACTTCCTCTGTATGAGGCTCAGAGGGAGATGCAGAGACCCCTCAGCCCTATCCTGGGACTCAGTGTAGCCGAGGACAGCAGGCATGCCGGATTGTGGGGTACACGTGTCACCATCTGGACCTCACCTCCTAGCTAATCGTGTGTCACCCAGAGTCCACCTGTGTGACCTGAGCAAGCCTATTTCATTAGAGGCTTGGGGACTTGAGGCCTTAGTCTAACTGGTTTTTCAAGAGTCTGCTTTCCTCTTGCACCCCGCATGGAGTGGTGTGCTTTCTCAGCTGGTTCTCATCAGCTCTGGTTCTGGTTCAGGCAGAGTGGCCTTGAAGATTGTGCAAGAGCTGGCATGATTGTGGGGAAGGGTGGGAGGGAGCAGAGTGCTGACATCTGAAGCCAGCTGTGCCTTACTTGTGAGCTGGAAACTCTGGATCTCTGAATCCTTTAGATTTAGCTGGTCCACCTTTCCTGAGAAGATGGCACACAGCACATCTGAATGAATTCAATGTATATTGTGCTGTACCACGGCTAGAGAGGAAGTATTTTGGGGCTTGGTGTAATTTGGATCAGGTGTCAAGTGTAGCCGTTTCAGCTTTCTAATTTAGGTGAGTGTTTAGGCATGGTTGGTCCTTTCATTGCGGGTCCTCTTCCCCTTCTCCGTTTACATCCAGGATTTGCTGAGTCACTGGGTGAGATCTGGGCTCTTCTCCAAGATACACAGGCATATTCTCAGCCCCTTTGTTTTGCTAGATCCTTCTTCTGTATCATTGAAGGCAAGCACTAGCCTCAATATGAAAAAGGAGAGTTTCTGCAGATCAGGAGGGGGTAACAGAGCCTCTTGGGTGGATAAGCGGGGAGTATAGCGGAGAGAGCATAGAACTGGAGAGACAGAGCCTAGCTAGCTTCGCCCAGCCTTTTGTCTCTTAGTAGCTATGGGAGGATGAGGAAATTGTGTTCATTAGTTTCCCTCTGACATATGGTGATGGCAGGATCTATCTTGCTGGGTAGTTGGGTGAATTTTCTACATCTATATTTTAATCTTTAATGGATATTCTTGGTGTGGGTTACTGGAACTTAGGGGGGCTGCAGACCTGAGCTTTAACTTTCTCTTTCCATTCAAAGGGCCTGAAGAAGATCTCAGCCTACATGAAGTCCAGCCGCTTCCTTCCATGTCCTATGTTTCTAAAAATGGCCAAGTGGGGCAACAAATAGGACCATGTGATACCACAACACAGAAGGGGATCCATTGTTGCACCTGCTGGCCAAGGGGCCTGGATGCAGCTGGCTCCCTGAATATCAGTTCTGTCTTCTCAGTACGTTTTTCTTCTTTCCACTCCTTTCTTTTCTGAAGGCCTTATTGGCTCCCTTTCAATACTGCTCCTGGATGTACTTCTGCAAAGTTGCCTTCCTTTTCCCTTCCCGAAATCCAACCATATTTTTCATGCTCTGTTTTGAGAAGCCCACCTGACACTGAGCTTCCCAGAACTACCTGAACGATCAGTACTGCCTGCTACTGTCTGGTGTGTAAGACCGAGCTCTCAGTGCTGTGGCTATCCAACCCCTGGTTTTCCTTGATCTGGATATTCCTCTTCTGTGTTTTCAGGATGTTTCTCCATTAACATCTCCCACTCTACTGCAGTTGGTGTATGTGTCCAACTCAGTCATCAGTTTCTTGAGGAGAGGATCCAGACCATGTTGGACACTTTCTCTGATATGTATGACATTGCCTGACATAAATCAACGTTCAGGAAATTTGGAAACTTGAAAGAATTGCTCTCAAGGAAGTCTTAGTGGGCCTGCACAGCCAATATTAGAATTTAGAGCTCTGGGAATAGCTATGTTATAGTCTGAGGAGGTACAGAATAAGGTGCAAAAGATTTCACATGGCCAGGTATTGGAGTCTGAGCTACTTGCTGTCTGTCACATGAGCATTAAGAGGCTCCAGCTGCCTTGGAACAGAGTGACTGGAGATGTGCAGGCCTAGGTTGCTGGGTAGCAGTGCAGTTTGGGGCTGTGACATTTTAGATCAGGTCAGCCATAAAGGAGAAGGATTAATTGGAGAAGCATCTGGTGAGCAGCTTCCTGAAGCAGCAGTTCTACCATGGATTCTGGCCTCGGTCAGGCACTGACTAAGTTGTAGCTAGTAACAGGAAGCAGATTTGAGGAGAGTCCTAATGAGCATTTCTCCATATGATCAATTGCCTCCTGCAGTTAAGAAATGGGAGAGCAATAGGTGTGATGTTCAGGGTCACTGTAAAATAAATGATTAATAAAAATATAAAAAACAATGTCATGAAAGCTAAAAGTTCATGAATCTGATAAGATAGAAATTACTTAAACCAACAGTTGTTAAATTTTAACTTAAAGATAGACATGATAAAATATGTAGAAAAAATAGACGTTAACATGAAACTCTGATAAAAGTTAAGCAGATAAATACAACTATTAAACCAGAGTAAAACAGATTCAGATCTATAGCAGAGGTCAGCAAACATTTTCCACAGTGGGCCAATCCTTTATAGTCCCTCATAATTCTTCTACTGGATTGTCCTCATAATTCTTCTAGTAAATGGTTATGGCTGTGCCCCAAACAGAGCTTTATTTACAAACCAAACAACTGATTCAAATATGGGCAAACAATTTGAATAGATATTTCTCCGGAGAAGATATACAAACGCCAATAAGCAGATGAAAAGTTGCTCAACATCGCTACTAATTAGAGAAATAGAAATCATTCCTTTCTGGAATTGAGCATTTCTGGTGAGAAGGTTTGTTCCAGTATGACTTGAATTCACTTGTAGACCTTTCTTTACTGAGGTTTTTCCAGACAAGAGTAGCATTTGAGTTAGTAAAGAGGATAGCCATCATCAATGTGAGTAGGCATCGTACAATCAGTCAGGGTCCTTACAAAAATAGAGAAGAGGTGGATTTGCTCTTTCTTTGCGGCATCTCTCTTCTCTTCTGGAATATCTGCACTCCTGGTTTTCTGGCCTGAAGATATAATTCGGAATTTACACCATCACACCTCAATCCTATCTTCATTCTCAGACCTATGGATTCATACATAGTACAGCACAGGCTTTCTTTGCTTCACTAGCTTGTAGATGGCACATCGCAGGATTTCTCCATCTTTGTAATCACAGGAGCCAGTTGCTAATATAGGTATGTGTGTATACATACTGTATAAGCAAAATAATGTATCTAAATCATTTTTTGTTTGCATGTAGAACTGTGTCTAGTATACCTAGCAGAAACATATACAAATTGACTAGAATAATCATGAGTGAACTGGTAAAGGCCAATCCAAACAGGAAATGCTAGAGGATACTCATTTATTTGGAGACATTTTCTGTTTGGGAGGGATTGGCTAAAATGTCTTATAATAAAACATCTTTCCTTATGGTAAATCTCCTTGCTCACTATCAATATTTTAATCTTTCTGTAAAAACACATAATCTCTCTGACTGCACATTTTGCCTATTCATGTGCACGAGGGTGTCTGGGAAGCTGTGAAGGGTGGGTGAACAGTGGGAAAGGAGCTGTGTCTTGTTGACCTTCATCATTTCTGTCCATGGCCATGGAACAATTTAGGCGCTTAATATATTCAACTTGTGGACAGTGCCAGGAAGGAGGGCATTTAATGCAAGAAGAGTCCCAGTCAAGCCATTTTAAGTTGGCAGAGACCAGTGGGAGTTTTCTGCACATATTTTTCAGTCATGTCGTACCTTTAAGAACATAAGTTGAGTTTATTCTTCCTGGCTGTACCCCAGCAGCTCTCAAAGAATCACTACACCAGGGCTAGGATTAGGCTGTTTGGCCTTGGAACAGGATTGCATGGGAGGCCAGCTGTGTGACCACCAGAGTCACATCCTCCCTAATCTGTACCCTGGAACACTGGCTGCCCAGCCCGTCCACCCGATCACCAAGTTCTCTGCCCAAGTGTCTCTCTCTCTTTCCTGATCTGTACCTGATGCCACAGTGGCTGCCTTGAGAGTCTGATGGCTTCTGGGACCCCCTGCAGCAGCCCTTTCTGCTTCCTTGTTTCCAAACAATGGCCGCTCTGGTCTTCTGCCTGCTAGCCAACATTTCTAGGACAATATTTTTCCAATTACAGCATTTGGCCCCTTCTTAGTCACTTTCTCCTCCTGGGACACATTACCTAACACTCACAATGTAATGTAAGAGAGGTTTGTTTTGGCTCAGTTTCAACAATTCCGGTCCATGTTTGGTAGGTTTAAACATGGTAACTTGGCTCTTCTGACCAGGCTCCACTTCCAACAACACACTTAGCTCTGAATTAATCCCGGAATGAGTAAAATGCTCCATGATCCAATCCTCTTAAAAAAAAAAACCCCACATTGAATTGGATCTTACTTTTCTCAGCTTTTTGGGAATGGAGGATGTGCTCTGTTGTCTCATGGAAGCAGGTTTGAATGGGCCAAGGGTGCACTATAATCAGGCCCTGCCTTTTTCTGCCCAGCTAGCTTCATAAAGTCAGAGCCCATTCATGATGGTGGCTGACTTCTGAGTCTACACCTCCCAGCAGTATGTAGTTCAGGCTGTCCTTGAACTCATGGCAGTCCTCCTGCCTCAGCCTCTCGAGTGCTGGGATTACAGGTGTGTGCCACCACACCTGGAAAATCCGTATATATTTATATATTTTACATCATATCTATTTCTCTAGTGAACACTCATGATACACTGAGATTGAACAATCTGAAAAATAAATTAAAAAGCATTCTAGCCCGGGGTGGTGGCACATGCCTGTAATCCCAGCACTCAGGAGGCTGAGGCAGGAGGATTGCTGTGAGTTTGAGACAGCCTGGTCTACGTAGTGAGTTCCAGGTCAGTCTCAACTACATAGGGAGACTCTCAATAAAAAGATAAAAGCATTCTCATCTATAATACCTACAAAAATAAAATTATATTTGAAATTATATTTTTCATTTGTAATATTTGTAATACCTACAAAAAGTAAAACATCTAAAAATAGGCTTGACAAGAGGTGAAATATCATTATAATGAAAATAATACAACACGAATGATAGAAATTGAAAACACACATGCACAAATGGAAAGGCATTTCGTGCTCATAAAATGGAAAAATTAATATCATTAAAATGCCTTTATATAAACTATATAAAAATCAGTCATTAAAATATCTGCCAAAATGCTGCCATTCTTCACAGAAATGGAAAAATCAATCCAAAAAGTGATATGAAACCACTAAAGACCTTTATACCAATCCTGAAAAATAAGAACAAGGCTGGAGGTATCACTCTACTTTGTGATAAACTACTGTACTACAAAGCCATAATAATCAAACAGCATGGTATTGTCATAAAAATAGATACAATGATCAATGAATCAGAATAGAGACCAAAGTAATAACCAACTATTTATTTATTTATTTTTTTGGTACTGGTGATCAAACTCGGGTCCTTGTGCTTGTGAGGCAGGCGGTGAAACCACTGAGCTAAATCCCCAGCCTGTCAACTAATTTTTAACACAGGTTCCAAGAACACAGAATGGGGGAAAGGAGAATAAATGTGCTGGTAAAACTGGAAATCCATTCTTTTTACTCTAATAGCTTAAAAAAACCTTTTTGTGCATTTTAAAAATTGGTACATGCTTGCCAGACATAACGGTCACATTCATTATGGGAATTTGTACCTGTTCATAAAGAAAGTAATCAATAGAGCGGAGAGACAACTGATGGGATGTGAAAGAAATATATGTAAACTATTAAACCAAAACAAACCCAAATACTCTTGATTTAAAAATAGGCAAAAATATGAATACAGATTCTCAGAAAACATACAAATGATCCATGGGATATGAAAGATGTTCAGTATCTTTTATATACCTATAGTTATCTGGTTGTACAGTTACCAGGGAAATGAAAAATCAAAACCATAATGGGATACCACCTCATCCCATGTAGAATGGCTATTATTAAAAAAAAGAGGAAAAAACTTGCCAGCACAGATGTGCAGAAATGGAACTCTTATACATTGTTTACAGGAATGTAAACTAGTACAGCGATTTTAGGAAACTGTGGAAATTCCTCAAGAAATTAAAACCATTATATAATCCAGCAATTCCTCTACAGACTCTTTTTTTCAAAGGAAATGAAATCAATATTTTGAAGAGATATTGGCATTCTTATGTTCTAGCAGCCCTATTCACAATATCCAAGATACAGAATCAACCAAAGTGCCCATCAGCACATGAATGGGTAAAGAAAATATAGTACATACGCACAATGGAATATTACTCAGCCATAAAAAGATGAAATCCTGTCATTTGTGGTACTATGGATGAACCTGGGTGTTATTATGCTAAGTAAAATAAGCCCAGCACAGAAAGACAAGTACTGCATGATTGGATTTGTTTGTGGAATCAAAAAGAAAAAAAAAAGCTAATCTCACAGAAATACAGAGTAATGTTTAGCAGAGCCTAGAGGAAAGATGAGTGTGGACTGATTGAGAATACAATGGGTACAAAATTACATCTAAATAAGAGGAATAAGCTTTAGCATTTTATTGCATAATAGGCTGATATTATTTCACACTTATACAGGATGTGTCAAAGTAAAGAGAAAAGTGATTTAGAATGTGCTCAACAAAGAAACGATCAATATTTGAAGAGATGGATATGCTAAAAACCCTGATTTGATTATAGAATGATATATCAAACATCTCATGATACCCTATAAATATGTACAATTAGTATGTATCAGTTGCAAATAAAACTTTTTAAAAATGTAAAAAAATAGTAAGCTTAAAATGTTAAAGAATAGAATAAAGCAATTTCAGGATTCATTTCATGTGGTTAATGCAAGTCTTAGGTGATGAATTAATTAATAATATATGTATGTAGATTGTGGATCACATAGTATGTGTATTTTTATAATTTTTTATTTTGATATAATAACAGACATTGGGAAAATTTGAAACAAGAGTGTAAGGAGCCCCTACATACCCTAATTGTTTGCTGTGTCTGTTGCAGAAGGAATCGGTAAGTGACACACAGAGAGGCAGCAGAATGGAAGTAAAATAACAAATTTACTCATTGATGAGGGTCGATCACACATAAGCTGTGCCTGGATTGACAACGCACTGGGTTACAACTCCTCCTTTTATAGGGTTTCACAGCCTTGACTTTATTTGAGTGGTCACATTTCATTCTCACAGTTCAAATCACGGTCACAGGATAGTTAACTTTCAATCCAGATATACTTCCTTGTAGCTAGTTGAGTTTACCTTTGAGATTCGCCTAGTTATCTATCCTAGCCCATAGGAAGGGGTGTTCAGAGTCAGGGGAGCAAATGTTAGCAATGGGTTCTTTCATCTCGACACTTTTGTGATCGTGTGGCTCCAGTCTCTTCAGAGCTCAAGGTCTTGCTGCGTCCTGTTATCTCAGGGTGGGACCAAATGCCTCATTCAGAAATTAGCGCCTTCAGTGCCTGGTAGTTCTGAGCTAAACAAAGCAAACTGCTGTTAGAGATGGCAGAAGCCATTTTACATTGTAACGCTTTATAGGTTTTTGTTATTTATAAAAGTTTTCCCTATCATTTCCACATGCCCTTCTCTTCCCTCTCCCTCTCTGTTCTCCAATCTGTCTCATTGTCTGACTCTAGCCTTAGCTGCAGTGTGCAAGTACAAATGCAGTTATAATTAAAACTTCATGTTCTTTCCCTAAGGTGCAAGGCCTTGTTCTGGATTACACCCCATAAGGGACAGTGATTTACAATCACCTGTACTCTGTTGGTTCCCCAGGCTAGGTCTTTTATGCTGGGCTTATGTGGAGTTGATGACAGTGACAGTTTATGTAACATTTTCCTTTTTGGAAAGCTGTGAAATGTCAGGCCTCAAATTTGTGAAGAGCAAGTGTACTTTTGTCTTATTATTGTTCTTTGTGATGCAATATGACCTCCATCAGATCTTAATTTCTTTCAATTATTTTTATTTTTTTGTGTGTTTGTTCTACTTGGTTGTACAATTAACATGTAGATAGGAAAAAGTGCTCCTTTAATCAGAGGAGTCATATGTACTAATTTTAAAAATTCTTTCTTAGGTCTGATTTTTATTAATTTCAGTTTCTTTTTTTGTTTTTGTTGTTGGAATAATGCTCTGTCATTACAGGCAATATTTTTGGAACTTCAACTATTGGGGTCATAAGCATATTGGTGAAAGTTTCAATATTTTCTCCTTGTTTTTTTTTTTTTATAATTTTTATCTTAAATTTTGTTGATACTCAGTTTATTTTTTTTTTTTTTTTTTTTTTTTTTTTTTGTACCAAGGATCAAATTTAGCACCTTGTGCTTGCGAGGCAGGCACGTTGCCACTGAGCTAAAGCCCCAGCCCTGATACTCAGCTTTCTGAAAATGAGTTTATATTACCAT